AGTATGAGATCCGCACTGGCCAGGAAACTGATCTTTTGTTTTACAAATATGCTGAATATCAGATGTGAACAAGAGCTTAAACGGAGAATTGAAGATTTATATGTAAAATAAATAAGTAATAAATTCCTAGAAATGTGAATTGAAGAGCCCTAAGTTCAGAACTTCTCCATGAACTCACAAACAATACCAGCTCCACAGCTGCAATCCATTTGTTCTATATTAGTTTTATTCCCTCCTTAGGACACTATACATTACAACAGTGCAGTGAAGTAGGTTAAACAGAGAGAGAATGACTGACGCAGTGAGCAATGATTTGAAGCTGGAGCTTCTCCAGTCCTAGTTCAGAGCTAACCATTAGACTATAGGGACTCTCCCATAACACTGACCAACTTTATTTGTTGCAAAGCGTACCAGGGCAACTTTTTTTTAGAATTTTCACATTGGTGTCTAGAGAATTATCATCGCAAGATCTTGATTCTCTCACCGCTGGACCGCAAATACACATATCCCAAGGTTAGGCAATATTGAACCACTAGTAGACTAGATTTCTTTTTAAACTACTCTATTTAGTAAGCATTCCCATCAGCTAACTGTTAAATACTCGAGCAGTAATTATGTCCAGGAGGATCCCTGTACAGCAGGTTTTCTAGTTACACTTATCCCCCTGCCTTAACAAAAAGTTAGGTTGGAGTTGGTTTTTTAAAAAATAAGATGATCATTTATTTATTTATTTGAAAGCATCCCAGAGTGGCTTACAAACAAGGAATTAAAAACAAGACAGTCCCTGCCCTCGGGTTTCTGGTTTTAAAAAGAACACAACACACAAGGCAAAAGGGACAGGGAGGGCAGAGGAGCGAGAAGCGCTCAGGTACCATTTCTTAAAGATCAGGTCTTATTAAAACTTAGCAAGGCCGTTAGGTCCACTGCTAACATAAGGAGAATATTCCTGCCTGGTCATATTGGTGTTCCATGAAAATACAGACACATCTCTGATGTGCTATTCCTAACAAATAAATCTTGAATAACATTTCCCCCACTGGGCTAAGAAAACCTAAGTCTTTGTAGCAAGAAAAAAATGGGAGTGCCTCCCCAATAGACACAGCTGTAACCTCTAAATGTGAATATATGATTTCAGGACAACACAGGATTCTCAAGTTAGTATTTGTGGAATTTTTTTAGAGTGTTGGGGCAGAACCACTCCTCACGGAAGCTGCACTTCGTGTCCTAACACACTTCCAATTTTTGTACCTCTTTTTAAAACTCTGTATATTTCCACTTGCAACAGTTATTGCTGGCTATGAGGGCATCAAGGAAAGAAAATGGGGTGAACATCTGATAGCAAAAGCTCCAGATACCAAATATCACTTTGTTCGGAACTTTCTTAGGGAGCACTCTGAAGATCTGCCAGAAGATTCCCAGCTCAGCTGCAGATACGCTTGCTTTTATCTTATAAGTTGCTCATCCTGGCTATAAACTGAAACTGGTTGAGCCAACGCTGCTGTAAATCCCAAAAAAGGGGGGTCATGGATGGGGCAGGACCAGGCAGAAGGGACTTAAACTGGCTCTTACTCTGCTCAGCTCAATGTGACCAGGAAAAAGGGTACTGTAAGCCAAACACTTGTTTTCATAGAATCATAGAGTTGGAATAGACCACAAGGGCCATCGAGTCCAACCCCCTGCCAAGCAGGAAACACCATCAGAGCACTCCTGACATATGGTGGTCAAGCCTCTGCTTAAAGACCTCCAAAGAAGGAGACTCCACCACACTCCTTGGCAGCAAATTCCACTGTCGAACAGCTCTTACTGTCAGGAAGTTCTTCCTAATGTTTAGGTGGAATCTTCTTTCTTGTAGTTTGGATCCATTGCTCCGTATCCGCTTCTCTGGAGCAGCAGAAAACAACCTTTCTCCCTCCTCTGCCTTGCTTTCCCTCTGACAGGCTTGGGCCAACTCAGCCAGCAGCCTTGGTCTTGAATGGGGTCTGGATGTGGCACGGCTTTATGCAAGCTTAATTCATGCCATCTTCTTGCGTATTGGATTGCTCCCTTAGTGCCTGATCAGGACTAAAGGAGAGAATGTTGACAGCTGTTTTCTGCTGAGTCAGAGCACTGGTCCATCTAGTTCAGTACTGTTTACGCTGATTGTCAGAGGCTCTCCAGGGTTTCGGGCAGGGGGGCACTCCTGGACGTGTCAGAGATTGACCATGGCACCTTCTGCATGCAAGAGGCATGATTGAGCTGAATGAATCCCTAACTGAGAACTCATCTCCGTCAGTAACTAAGACTACAAACCTAAACACATTTACTAGAGAATAAGCCCTGATGAACATAGTAGGACTTTGGGTTAGTCGGCGTGGTTCCATCCAGATGTTGTTGGATTCCAACCCCCAACCGCTCCTGTTAGGGTGGCCAATGAAGAGTCCACCACATCTGGAAGTCGACACACCCCTTATCTGCAAGACAGCAATAATGCTTACCTACCCAATTAAGTTGCTGTAAAGACAACGTGCGTAATACGTGTGAATTACTTTGAACACCAACATTTATTTCTCTTATTTGGAATGATTTATATGCCACCGTTCAACACTCCCAACTTACAAGAAAAAAAATATAAACAGATAAAAAATAAACAGCCAGCAAGAGCTTAAAGGAATTCTCTAAATGCCACGTACATTATTTGCAATTGCCAGTACATGGTCATCAAGAGACAGAAATCTCACCATCCCATACATATGCATACAGAATTTTACTTGTATGCTGCATTACCACAGTTCAAACCATGCTCAAGGCAGCGAGCGACGTGAAAAAAATACACAGCTACAACACAGCATGACAAAAGCAGTCATACTGAAGCACTGAAGGAAAACCCCACTTTTTACAACCCCGATTGCAAGTTTATTGGGATAAACTGGTCAAAGCCAACATGAACAAGCGCTCCGTGCCTTCACGGGAGAAGCTGATGGAATGCAAACTGGTGTTGAGCCGCTGCAAATTTACACCGGATCCAAACTCTATTTGGCAGGGGAGGCTATAGGAAGCTAAGCCTGTGGCAGAGGGGAAACAAGGCCTTAAAGTGATGTTGGAGTCTCATCACCCTTCGTTTAGCCAGGACCAAGCTCTGCCTCAGATGAGAGAATTAAGGAAGCTTGCAGCGCACCTGAGCCGGGAATATCCCAGCTCAGTGGGAGATCTGCTGGACTCTAACCAGCTCATCCCTTCAGATCTTGCTGTAGGGTGGTTCTCTTAGGGCTGCAATTCCACTTTAGTCATACTCCCAAGTAAACACATTGAAACAAACAGGCACGACTAGCTTCGAGCCACTAAGTCTGGCAACTGCAAGTATAATTCTGACGGCAACAAACTATGCACCACCAAATGGTTTTACCTACCACACATCAGATAAAGGTAAAGGGACCCCTGACCATTAGGTCCAGTTGTGGACGACTCTGGGGTTGCGGTGCTCATCTCGCTTTATTGGCCGAGGGAGCGGGTGTACAGCTTCTGGGTCATGTGGCCAGCATGACTAAGCCGCTTCTGGCGAACCAGAGCAGCGCACGGAAACGCATGGGGATTCGAACCGCCAACCTTCTGATCGGCAAGCCCTAGGCTCTGTGGTTTAACCCACAGCGCCACCACACATCCGGAGCAGAAGGTAAAGCCCAGGGACCAAAGGGCCATCTGAGGAGGTGAGGGGCTGGTTTCAAGGAGGCTGAGACACAACTACTCATTTTTTATTATTATTTCAAGGTTGAGTACACGGTTCTCCTCCCCTCATCTCATCCTCACAACAACCCTGTGAGGCAGGTTAGCTAACAGATGGTGACTAGCCCAAGGCCACGCAGTGAGTTTCATGGCTGGGGGAGTGGGGTTCAAACCCAGATCTCCCAGGGCTTATCTCCCCGCTCCAGACCTATTTCTGCAGCCAGAGGCGGGGAACATAGCGCTGGAGTTGCAGAAAGTCTTCAAAGTAGAAACACGTGGCGGAGCTCGCTTCCTGCATCAAAAGGGTCGCTTCCACAAAACGGATCGCCTCGCCGCGTTTCCGCAGCCAGCGCGAAGTTAACTTCCTTTCCCCACCGCACCCTTTTCGGAAACCGGACGGGCGAAGTTTGCAACTCTGCGCCCCTCATCCCTTCTCCAAACCAACCCCTCTGGAGAAAGAGATCCCCGGCCCCTCGCTCCCTATCCAAGGGCAAGGATCTCCCCCTCTACACACACACGCCTTGCGCACCCCGCTACTTTCTCTAGAAGTAAAACAGAAGGAGAGAAGAGATAAGGAAAGGAAGGAAGGGGAGAGAAGACGCCGCTCGGACTCCGGGCTCGCCGGCCACCAGGCGGGGGCGGCAAACAGCCAACCCCTTCCCCAAACCCCCTGAAGGGCTAAGCCGAGAGAGAGAGAGGCGGCAGACGGAGAGGCCGGACCCAGGAGAAGACTGGAAAGCGACTTGCTCGCCAACCCACCCACTCCTCGCGCGGCTGATGTTTTAAACCGAGAGGGAGAGAAAGAGGCGAGTGGGCAGCTCTAGGGGGACGAGACTGCCCGGCTGAGGCCACAACTCCGCCGGGAAGAGTCGGCGTCTTCCTCCGACACCGCGCCCCGCATCTGCGCGCCGGGCGCGGAGATCCTTTCTTGGGGGCTCGCGGAGTCAATGGAGCGCGCTTGTCCCGTTGGGCCGAGTCCGGAGAACGAAAAGGTCGCCTCTCCCCTTCCCGTTAGCCCTTTTTTGAGACATACACACACAGGCAGGCACACCCCTCTATCGGCGAGCTGGGCCCCCACTTCCCGTCTCTCTTAAAAATCCAGGTTCATAGGAAGAGGTCCCCACTCCACTCCGCTACATCATGTCCCTGCTACGCCCCGGCCGCCGAGCGGCTTGACCCATTCCGGCTTGGAGATCTCCCCTCTCCAAAAACAGATCCCGCCTCAACCGGTGGACACAGCTCCCTTTAAGCCCGAAGATACAGACACACACCCGACCCCGTCGCCAATTCTACTCCTCTACCTTCGTCCCGCCGATGCGAGAGTCCCTTTCCCCGCCTCTCCTCCTTTCTCGGCGGATCCGGGAAGGAGAGATCCCTGGCGCGCAATGCCGCCGGGCACTCACCGCGTCCGGAGAGGCTGCTGGCGCCGCCGCTGCTGCTGCTTCCCGGCAGCTCTCATCGCCTTTGCACGCCGCCTTCTCCTCCTGCTCCTCCTTTGTCCTTCCAAAGTACCCGCCGCCGCCGAGCCACGACGGAGGCACCTCCCCAATCCTAGGCAAGGAGGGGGGTCCTCTTGCTCTGCTCTGCTCTCCTCCCCTCGCTCTCGTTCCCCGGGCGGCAGCAGCAACAATGCACTCTCCAAGAGCTGCCTCGGCTTCTTCCTTCCTCCCTTCCTAATATAGCGCTCCCTCCCCGAGAAAGCCACGTGGATGGGAGAGGGAGGCAGACAGACGTCGAGAGAGTGAGCGCGCAAAAACGCACAGGCGAGGGGCGCAGCGCAGGCTCCTCCTCGCTCGCAGGCAGCGACCGAGAGAGAAGGACAGCGGGAGGGCGTGTGTGTGTGTGTGTCGGTGCTTTTAAAACATCGACCGAGCAGAGCCCTCGGCTGATCTGGCAGGAGAGAGAGAGAGAGAATGTGGAACTAGTTAAAGGGAGCTTTCCGCCAGGCAGAAATAAATACGACCCATGTGGGACTCAGCAGGTTTCTGGCACGTGTGAGAGGGGAGGGTTCCCGGGCCCGGTTTAATTTATTCCTCGGCCATGTGTGGCGAGCGAAGGGTGGAGTTACAAGTTGCTCTCTCCCTCTCTTCCCCCTCCCGGCCTTTCTAAAACTAGCAGCTGGATGATAATCCAGTCCTCAGGAGAGGGAGAGTCCAGTTTGCCAAAGTTCCCGTCTGGCAGCGCCGGCGCAACAGCCGTCTTGTTTCCAAAGCAGTCCCGGAGAAGCCCCTAGTCGGTTTTCGCAAAGGCTGAAACCAGTGGGTTGTGCCCCGCGCGAGGGCAAGAGAGACTTCTCCCTCCTCCTTCGCCTCGGGCGATTTTAGTCGGGTGCCAGATCCCCCTGGGATCCCCCTCCTTGGTGGAGTCTCAATACGGCAAGGAGCGCGGAGTTGGGGGCAAGAGGATTCCCCGGGAAAGTCGTGGCAATGCCCAATTAAATTGATAAGAGCACCGCCGCTGCGCGTTGCAATGCCGATGTGCCGGCGTTGAGTGCTGTGCGGGAGAGAAGAGTTTTGAGAACAGAAAAAAGATGCAGAGAGAAAAAAGGTGGAGTTGGAATTTTGCAGGCAGGAGGCTGGGGAAGGCGAGAGTTTAGCAATGAGATGGGCGTGAGAGGTAATGGAGACCGTGCGAGAGCGACGGCTCAGAGCAGAGGACTGGGGGGGGGAGCAGCTATCCCCCCCCCAGTAAATACAAATGAATACAAATCTGAGGTTCTGACCTCCCTAACAAAAATCCTGGCTACGCCTATGACACAGGATGTGGGTACGTGGAATATAGCAAGATGGATTTTCATATATAAATATTTGCACTCATTTTAATTCCATTCATGAATCACTTGCTATGAAACATCACTAAACGATCAACATTAACAATATATATCTATAAACAATAGAGAAACCACACCTGTTTCTCTAATCCTCCATCTACCTTCCCTGTATTTGATGGTCAGGCTGCTGAATCACTTCCCTGGTTTGTCAAAAGTGTGCTGCTATATTTTTAGTTGCTTGAGATTTTATGGTTCCAATATACAGTGGTACCTCTGGTTACGTACTTAATTCGTTCCAGAGGTCCGTTCTTAACCTGAAACTGTTCTTAACCTGAAGCACCACTTTAGCTAATGGGGCCTCGCGCTGCTGCCGCACGATTTCTGTTCTCATCCTCAAGCAAAGTTCTTAACCCGAGGTACTATTTCTGGGTTAGCGGAGTCTGTAACCTGAAGCGTATGTAACCTGAAGCGTATGTAACCCGAGGTGCCACTGTATGGTGTGTGGTAGTATTTGCTATCTCTTTGTAAACGGCTTAAGAGACTGGGCCTGTCTTAAGCTGCATCTAAATAGGTCTGAAAACAAATAAATATGAAACTGTCGCCTATGTCACCTATAAATAACCATTTCAAATCCAATGCACGTACAGGCTGGGGCATGGAAATGGCTCAGCCGAGGACCCAAAGTTTGGGTAGGTGGAATATAACAAGATGGATTTACACAGGGATGTTTGTATTTATTTTGTTTTATTCCATTCATGGAGCACTTGCTATGGAACATCTCCAAGCAATTGACAGTAGCGTTGGTGCATATGTATAGTATAGCTAATATATAAAACTGCCATATAAAAGCAGTTCAAATCCAATGCAGGTGGAACGTGAAAATGAAAGAGGGGTGGTTTCAAAATGAGCAAAAGGAAGTGTGAGAAAGATTGAAAGTGCATGTGAGAGAGAAAGAGGGAAGAAGGAAAAGGGAGTTTGAGAGTGGCAGGCAAAGGCAGAGCAGAGATAGAGAACTGATGGAGAGCAAGACAATTGTCATCATTCAATGTTGCTACCTGTGTGGGCAAATGCGAATACCTGTTTGGAAATAAAAGGCATTCACCTACATGTGCAACTTCTTCCCCAAGGATCTGAAGATTGCCTCTCCCTGTCCTTTGCTGCCAACATTCCTGCCAGACATTCAGCTCTTAAAGGCACAGGGGCCCTGGCGGCAGGAGACAGGTGGCTGCCATGGACGTTAAACCAGAGTTTCCCAACCTTTTTTGGGCAAAGGCACACTTGTTTCATGAAAAAAATCTCGAGGCACACCACCATGCCAGATGGGGAAAGGTCACTTTTTACTTATGTAAAAAAAAATAAAAAAATAGTAACAGCATAGAAGGTAATGGTAGATGACTGTTAGGGTCTCCCCCCAAATGCAGAATTCTATTAATATCTTCCTTAGCGAGCCGCGTTAACCCCTGTAATGCTTTCTATAGAGTAAGCATAGGGGACACTGGGGGATGTGGAACCAAGGGGGCAGTGGGCCAAAAGAGTTCGGGATCTACTGCTTTAAACAGAAATAAGAGCCAGTGGGTTCTTCCTTTTTTAAAGTATCGTTTCAGCGGGGACAGCAGTCCGGATTTCCAAAAAGCGGCGCTTTTTTGCGTCTGAGCAAAGAAGAGAGAGAGGGGAAAAAAGAGAGAGAGATTGATTTGTGGCTGCGCAAAGGGGGGAGGAGCCCAGGAGTAAAAGTAGGAAGGACGAAGGGAGGGGAAAGGAAAGTTAATAGAAGGAAAGGCGGGTGGGAGAGAAAGAGAAAGAAAGAGGGAAGGAAGGGGGGGAAGAGAAGTGGAAAGGAGGGAGACCGAGGCGGGGGAGAAGCGTCTGGAGAGTTGCTCCGAAGTTTGGGGGGCCGCGGGGGTGGGCGCGCGTCCCAGGAGGCGGAGGCCAGCCCGGGCTGGGAGCCGCGCCGCGGCCCGGGGGCGGTAGGCGGACCGCGGCTCCTAGGATGTGGAAAGGGGACGGCGGCGCAGGGGGAGGAGACCCGCACGGCTAGGGCAGCGCGCAGGGGGAGGGGAGCGGGCCGGAGGCGGGCGAGGGGGCCGCGATCCCGCGCGCCGCGAACATGGCCTCCTTCCCCGCGGGCCCCGCCGAGCCCCCCGGCCGGGGAGGGCGGCGCGCCCCCGCCGCCGGAGGAGAGCAGAGGCAGGAGGAGGAGGACGAAGGCGCTGCCGAGGAGGCGCGCCAACTTCTGCCAACTTCGGCGCCCGCCCCGTCGCCGCAGGCTCCTCCCGGCCGAGAGCCAGAGGACGGCGGCGGAGCAGGAGGAGGAGGATCGGGTTTGGCGACGGCTGCTGCGTCCTCTCCAAGCGCGGGGCTGGCCTCCGCCGCGCCCGATCCTCCGCGCTCGCCGCGCTTCTCGGCGGAGCAGGTCTCGTGCGTGTGCGAGGCGCTGCTGCAGGCGGGCGACCCCGGCCGGCTGGGCCGCTTCCTGGGCTCGCTGCCGCCCGACGCCGAGGCGCCGTGCCTGGAGGCGCAGGCGGCGAGAGCCTGGCCAAGGCGCGCGCGCGCTGCTGGCCTTCCAGCGCGGCGACTTCGCCGAGCTCTACCGCCTGGTGCAGAGCCGGCGATGGGATGTGGGAGGGAGCTCGCTCGCCGCCCCGCGTGTGCCTATGTGGGGCACGTTACAGCCCCGTGACGTCAGCGCCACGCAGGCAGCCAGGCAGGCAGACGGCGAGAGCCCCGCGCTGGGCGGCCTCTCCTCGCCGCCGCCGCCCCGCCTCTCGCCGCCTGACTCGCCCGCCTCCCTCCCACGGCACACCAGGCAACGTCTCGCGGCACACTAGTGTGCCGCGGAACACCGGTTGGGAAACACTGCGTTAAACTCACAAAAACTGGAGGCTTAAAGGGAGAGGAAGTATGCGAGTATCTGCGTCTCTCTGTCTGTCTCCGTCCATAGACATCAAAACAGGATAGGGGATTTGTCTGGTGAAGAGAAGCAATTCTCCCTCTCTCCTCCCTATTACATAGATCATAAAAGAGTATATTGCCATGAATAAACCAGCTCGTCTATTATTTATTGATTACCCAAAGGCTTTTCACAGTGTCGGCAGGTGTAAAAATCTCTTGTCGTGTTTTAATGGAGATGGCCTTCTGCTCTGTCTTATTTGATTCACAGCTCTGATTGAAAAAGCCAGAGGGATATTCCTTCACCCCCCACCACTCCACTCTGTCCATCCCTCTCCATCCTTCCTAGCTCCCCAATCCTTTATATTATTATTAGTATGTGTGTTCTCTCCATTCTTAAGGAAATCAGCCCTGAGTGCTCACTGGAAGGACAGATCCTGAAGCTGAGGCTCCAAGACTTTGGCCACCTCATGAGAAGAGAAGACTCCCTGGAAAAGACCCTGATGTTGGGAAAGATGGAGGGCACAAGGAGAAGGGGACGGCAGAGGATGAGATGGTTGGATGGTGTTCTTGAAGCTACCAGCATGAGTTTGACCAAACTGTGGAGGCAGTGGAAAACAGGAGTGCCTGGCATGCTCTGGTCCGTGGGGTCACAAAGAGTCGGACACGACTAAACGACTAAACAACAACAATGTGTGTTCTACCCTACCTGTGTGGAATTCAGCTTTATCTGGTTGTAAAGAGCTTTGAGTTGTCCCAGACAAGATAAAGCAAATAACAAATTCATAAATAATAATAATGCCTCCACTTGCACAATAACCTTGTGAGGTAGATCAGGTTGGGAAACAGGGAATGATCCAAGATCAACCCAACAAACTTCCTTCTCTAGGTTCCCTCCATGCTGTTTGTTTAAGCCTCTGCAAACCACTCTAATAGAGCCTCTTCTCTGAGTAGACCTTGATTTGGCAAGAACCTGGGTGAAAATCTGCCTTTGACAAGGAGCTAAACTACAGCTTTCCAGATGTTGTACTACAACTCCCATGAATCCAGCTTGGGCGATGAAGAGCGGGATATAATTTTTAGATGGAAATAAAAATAAATAGTTGCCTATTTCATCCTCTTGCTCTCATAAGCTCATCCACTTTTAAAGAAAATATTTCAAAGGTGACTTCCAAAAGACCATAGATTCCTTCCATGTAACAAATGAACCCCCTCATTTTCCCCACTTTGCCTTACCTCTGTCCCTAGTGGAATGATTAATTATAGGTTTGAGGCGTCAGCCTGGATGATACCTGTGGATGG